TCGAGATCTTTCTATTGACACCGGCGGTGTCAAAAATGGAGGTCGGAATCTTAACTTGAGTATTTGGCCATTGATGGTTTGTGTGAGAGAGAACGTGAGAGGAGAGAGAGAATGAGCGAGAATAAGAGAAAGAAAGTGTAAGAACCCTAAAAATTTCACTATATAAAGTATCTGATTAAGGTAAGATTACGTGCCTGATCTTATCCTCAATTATTTCTTCTAAACAGATTAAATTTATACTGATTAGAGGTAATTAGTTTAGCTCACGTAAGTTAATCTACTACTTACAGTCCAATATTAATTTCTGAATAATTCAATATTGTTTTATATTCTTACTCGCGTAATATTTCAAACTGTTTCAAGTCTTGAAATTAATTTTAGACTGAACAAATTCTAAATTTTAATTTTCTGTATTATATCCCAAGAATGATGTTTCTGACAGTGTCAACTCCCGAGCTCATATTGTACCCATCTACTATAGGTATTTATCTTGCGACTTTAACCTAACTGTCTGGCAATTAAGGATTTTTTTTCTTCTTTTAAAATGTCAGTGCATTTTTTTATACGCTGCTAACATCGTGCTGTGCTTGGAGATTCTTGAAATTAAGATTCTCAAACTATACTTGTACTGAAAATTATTCCGCCTTAAAATACTGCGAGAATTTATCGATCGAATTTACTTGATTGAAACATGAACTTAACATGAAATTTGCTATAGAATTTAGGAATACATATATTAATTCCATAAATCCTCCATTCACAATATAACATAATATTTTCTAAGAAAATCCTTGGCTTAAAAATACATGAATTGTATTATTTAAGGTCTGAAATTTTCTCAGTCATTACACTTTTGATGGGACATTTTAACCTGAGGTTCTTAAGAAATAAAAGGAATTCATGAACCCAAGTTTCTTTTGGGTTTTCAAGGTTTGAACTCAAATTCAAACCCTACAAATCTCACATCAGGTTCAAACTCAAAAGGTTCAATCTAGACCGCCTTACCAAACGAATCCTCAGTTTTTTGAAACAGTCTAAAATATGTCTTTGATCTATCAACTCTTCTAAAATATGAAGACTGCCTTTACTAAGGGGAATTTCTCCGGCAGGACATTCTTATTGGTAGGGTTAGTTTTTGATAGTTAAATCGAGTAAAAATCGCACCAGATTGAAAAGTATACAAAACATACGATTTTTTATACAAATCTGACAGTTGAAAATGGAGAATTACCGACAATTCAATTTTTTCTGGTCCTATGAGAGAAGCTCTCTTACTATATATATATGGGTCCTTTTATTTAAGAAAATTAAACAAAAATAAAAAACTAACACTATTTTATTTCTATCATAGTTTTAAAAATCATCTTGTGCCACTAATAACCTGCAGGTTATTTTTTCGTAATCTGCAGGTTATTTTTTCGTAATCTGCAGGTTATTTTTTCACAACCTGCGAATTATCTTTCGTAACTTGCAAGTTTTGTTTTGTTTTTTGTTTTTTGTTTTTTTTTGTTTTTTGTTTTTGTTTTTTTGTTTTTATTTTTATTTTTTGTAGTGGCATTAACATTTTGTGTAATGACATAAATAAAAGAGTTGGAAAAAATAATTAAACTTAAAATTTTCTCTTTTATTATAGGGCTTATTATACATGTAGTGCATGGCTTTGACCTTTGAATTTTATTAAATTTACACTAACAAAATAATTTGCAGAACAACAGTTTTGATACATATCTAATTGTTAAAAATAGACACCTACCATTATAGTAGTTTATTTTTTCAAAACTTGTAAAAATCTCCATATATAGTTATATATTATTTATAGACACTAACTTTAATATCAACTTTTGTATCAACTCTTGACTTGTCATTCGTTTATAAATAGGTGCAACATCTTATTATTAATTATTGTGACAATAATTTGAATACATACTAATAAAATATGATAAACTCGTAAATTGATAAAAGAAAAAATAGATATTAAAGTTGGTGTCTAAGCATTATTCTATGTTAAATATTTGATAGAACCGGGGAAACTCCAATGAAGGTCGGTTGCAACGGAAGTCTCGACTCCAGAATAGTTTAGTTTTAATTTTATAAACTGCACGATTTTGATACGCATGCTTTCATAACGTTCATGGTAAAACTTTGAAAATTATATTATATATATATATATATGTATCTCAATAATCTTGTTTCACTCTGTTCATGCTTTTCAAATGGAACATATGCGAGTTGATCTAGACAACCTGAAGTGCTGAACAATGTCTGAATGTGGTGTGTGTATATATATATATATATATATATTGATGTCACCTCTTTAAGGATTAATTGTAAATTTCTTTATAGATAAGTATGAAACCTTTTCTTAGATGTTTCAAACTAATGAATATGTTTCCTCTAAAAGAGATAAAAGAGAGAGAGAGAGAGAGAGACAAGAAACTTGGACAAAATATTTATGTCAAAGTGGATTGGATATTCTAAATAATTTTTCCTAAATGCGTTGAGCAAAAAGGATTGTAATTTCCCTCAAAATAATCTTTTTTTTTTTACAGAAAATATAACTCTGTTCTTTTTGTTTTTGTTTTTTTTAATAAAAATGTTTTTTCATTCAACAAAGACAACATTGCAATGAGAGATCTTAAAAAAAATATCAAGAATGATGTAACAAACAAATGATTAAAATAATCAAAACAGACAAAGAACATGAAGAATTCTCTTTCAAAAAAAAAAAAGAAATATATATATATATATATATGCAGAATTTATGTATTGATTTATTTTTTACCTATGCGCTCATTTTGATCGTTACGCTTACAACTTGACAAGAGAGACAAATTTGAGCTTCATAAAAAGTGAACTTTTGGCTCTTTTAAAGCGCTCTCCACCTCCGGTGTAGGTGTATTAAAGGAGAGAAGGGTGACTGGATTGATCTTTCTTAGACAATAGGTGTATTAGGTCTATTTCTATTGAACACATGTACTCTGTGGACATGATGGCGCGGTAGACTGGCCACTAATAAATTTCAACTAATTAAACACTTCGAGATTTTGTTTTTTCTAATGTACCTTGTATTTTGTTTTGTTGAATTTAATTGAATTATCACAAACACTAACGAAACTATATAATTCATAGACTAAGCAAACTATCCTAAATCAATATGGTGATAGAAACGAAAAGCGATGGACGGAACGGAATGTATCATACTAATGCGAAATATGATTATTTATTAATTAATGCAAAAATTTCCATTTCCTTAAGCATCGTCCAGCTTGCTCGTAATTATTATTGTCTGTTCTTCATGTGTGACAGGGTTGAGTCAAAATTGGTTGAAAAAATTGTTCAAGAGGTCTTGAAGAAATTGAACGAAATGCCATATTCAAGGCCTGATTTTAGTAAACTGGTTGGAATTGAAGAGCACGTAGAGAGGCTGGAACGATCATTACACATTGGCACTCCATTTTTTCGCATCATTGGCATTTGGGGCATGATTGGAATAGGGAAGACAACTATTGCTACTGTTTTATATGACCGGATCTATCCTCACTTTGAAGGTTTCTACTTTCTCCGAAATGTTACTCAAAAGGCGGAACGACATGGATTAGACCATCTACGAAATACTCTCCTTGCTCAATTGCTAGGGGAAACAAATCTGAATTTAGGCCACCAATCTTCAGGATCAACTTCTATTGGAGGGAGACTTTGTCATAAAAAAGTCCTTGTCGTCCTTGATGGTGTGGATGACGAAGACCAATTTGATCAACTTTTACCAAGAGAGCATATCGATTTTCACACTGAAAGTCGGATAATCGTGACAACAAGAAGGGCACAAGTGCTTAGGAGTATTAGAGCTAGTGAGGAATACAGGGTTGACGAACTAAATGCGTTCGACGCCCTTAAGCTTTTTAATTTGAATGCTTTTGAAAATAACCCCATTAAGTCAGATTTTGCAGACCTATCTGTTAAGGTGGTTAACAATCACGCTGGCGGTGTTCCGCTAGCTCTCAAACTTCTTGGTTCATACCTTGGTCGTCGTATCAGCAGAGAAGCATGGGAAAGTGCATTGGAAAAATGGGAATTTGTTCCGAACGAGAATATTCTGAAAGCATACAGAATATGTTATGATAGCCTACATCCTACTTCTAGGAATATATGTCTTGATATTGCATGTTTTTTCAGAGGTGATGAAAGAAATTTCATAGAGAGGATATTGCACGGCTGTAAATTTTTCCCAAAAGATGGAATAAGCGATCTGATTGATAATTGTCTCCTAATAAGCACACCCGATAACAAGATCTCAATGCATGATTTACTACAAAGAATGGCTCAAGAAATTGTTCGTGAAGAATCTGAGAGAGAGCCTGAAAATCGCAGTAGGTTGTGGATTGCAGAAGATATCTGTGACGTACTTGAGAAAAGTATGGTAAGAGCCAAAAGCATTTACTACTATTTTGTTTTTGGTCTTTGAAAAAAAAAAATCAAATTTCTATAGAAAGTTGAAGATTTGAGTGTTAAATTGTTCTTATATTTATGTTTATGTTCTATTAAATTGTCAGGGAACTGCAAAACTTGAAGGCATGTTTCTGGATATGGCAAAGAGTGAGAGAGAGAAGCTCATAATTCCTTATAAAGCCTTCTCAAATATGCGTAATCTAAGATTGCTCAAAATTCATGATTCTCGCTCAGTCGAGGTCTGCAAAGTGCACATTCCTTGTGGTCTTGAGTCACTTCCTAATTCACTTGTATATTTCCACTGGCATTCGTACCCTTGGAACTCTTTGCCATCAACTTTTGCTCCAAATGGCCTTGTTGAACTCAACATGCCATATAGCAAACTAGGAAATCTTTGGCCGACTGGTGTTCAGGTATGCTTAAGTTAGTTCATACATTGAATTTTTTACTTTATGCAACTACATTCTGACTTATTCAAGATTCCTCTTATTTATTTGTTATTATTTTTTTTTTACAGCATCTTGGAAACTTGAAAAGGATCAATCTTAGCTACTCAGAACGCTTGTCTCGAATACCAGATCTTTCTCGAGCTCGTAATATTGAGAGTATAAATCTTGAAAGCTGTAGAAGTTTGCTTGAACTTCCGTCATATGTTTCCAATCTTGACAAGCTTACTTCACTAAATCTCAAGGGCTGCTCATCCCTTCGAAATTGTTACGCATTTCCAAGAAACATTAAAAGTCTTGATGTGAGAAACTGCACAAAGCTTCAGACTCTCCCAAACAATGTTTGTGATCTGGAACATCTTTGGTATCTTAATCTTTCGGGTTGTTGTCAGTTGGTAAACTTCCCAGAAATCTCGAGGCCCATGAAACGTTTGGAATATCTCAAACTGAAAAGAACATCAATTATAGAGCTACCCGGGTCGATTAAAAATCTCTTAGGGCTTAAAGTACTAAGCCTGAAAATGTGCAAGAACCTTCAAGCTCTCCCAAGTAGCATCTCTTGTATATCCACTCTTCAAAAGCTTAAACTTTGCCATTGTTCAAATCTTAAATCCTTACCCAAGCTTCCAACATCTGTATCATGGGTCGATGCTCGGTACTGCTCATTATTGGAGTCTGTCTCGATTTCAAAAGCTGAACTCAGAGACGTGTGGAACAAATTTGTATTTTATAACTGCCTAAAATTGGATCCAGTTTCTCGCAACAACATAATGGCGGATGCACGGCTTAGAATTCTGCGGAGTGCAGTGATGGCAAGAGAAGATGTCTCTCTCTCTCACTCTCTCTTTCTCTGTTAACAATAAATTCCCAGTTGTCCATATATAATGCTCACATTTAATGACTCTTATCCATTCATGGTACAGGGAGAAAGCAAGACACCAGATGATGAAATTTGTTTTCCAGGAGAAAAAATTCCAGAGTGGTTCGAGCATCAAAACGACGGACATGAAATAAATGTCGAGCTTGATCATCAACCTGATTGGTGCAATCAGTACTTCTTGGGTTTTGCGTTTTGCGCTGTAGTTGAATTCCAGAATGTTTCTTCCGACACAGATTTCCAGCTTCATTGCAAATCCGAGTGCATATTCCCCGACGGAAAAACGAATAAATGGTCCCGCAGTTGGACTTGGCATTGGAATTACCTGGAAGAGGAAAGCAGTACTATGAATTCTAGTCACATATTTTTGTTTCATGATTATTGTTGCAAGACGTACTGGAAGTTTCCAATAAATTGTGAAGCAAGTTCATCCACCAGTAAATTGACAACTTACTATGACAAATCCTCGGCCACATTTTCTTTTCACCCTGGAGACTCAAGGGGACGTGTCAGCTCTTTGAATTGCGAAGTGCAATTTTGCGGGGTCCACCTTCTCTACACCCATGATTCGGGGCAGTTTCGAGACTTTGAGAATTCACCATGGGAAACACATCGTATGATGTCTATAGAAGAACGTGGCTGTTTGGCGCCTGCTCCAAATGATTTCCAACGAAGACCGATTTCCTGTGATTGCTAATTATGCTGCTCCCAGCTTGGAGGTATTCTCTTGTCTCTAACTAATTTAACGAACCCTTTCATTCTCTCCATACGCTCAAGTCATCACCTCTCTCTTCATTTCTATAAAGATATTAATAAAGATTTTAGTTAGTTGATGATACTAACTAACTAAAATATTTATTATTACATATAAATTAAAATATAATAATCGGTAATTAAAACTTAACGCGTGTAGCACGTGGAGTTCAACTAATTATAGAAATAAGAGTCATAAATTTTCAGTTATTCGCTTGTTATGTTAAAATAAAAAAGAAAGAAACAATCATATACCATATATCTTGGATTTACTGAGAAAGTATACAGTTCATTTTAGACTCAAATCACTTCTCCATTATTAAAAAAAAAAAATCACATATCCGTTTTTAATATCTAAATAGTGTCTAACTAATCAAATTATGTCACATTTTTTTAAAATATTTAAAATATTTTTTAATTGACATTTCATACTTTAATATTTGAGTCCATTTAATGGCATGTTATAATATGATTAATTAGTTATCAATTAAGACACTAAAATGTGACATACGATCCCCTCATCAAAAACATATAAGAAGACAATATTTTAAGTGCATATTAAATTCATACCCTGGATTAGTTATCAATTAAGACACTAAAATGTGACGTACGATCCCCTCATCAAAACATATAAGAAGACAATATTTTAAGTGCATATTAAATTCATACCCTGAAGCGAACAGTGCCTAACTTTGACTATTGAAAAGTCCAAAATATTCTTGAAGGAAAAAAAAAATTCACATACATTTGAATTTTTTTAGCAAAAGTTTTTATTATTTTCTTTGATGTAATTTTGTTATTAAATTAATTAAAATTGAGCATTGAACATTACATCGTACAAATTTGTTGCACTCTTTAAAATTTCTTGTATTGCATTCAATGAGGCTCGAAACAAATGGTATGCATTCTCTCTCTCTCTCTCTCTCTGTTTTTTTTTTTAAGAATAAATGGTATAGTTTCTCAATAAACAAAAAATATACAGTACTTAAAAATATTTCTAAAAAAAAAAAGAAAAACTCTGCTTATTTACTTTTTTCATGTGTGTATATATATATATTAAAAAAATTCAAATTTAATTTAAGTATTATTTTTTTCAACTATATTATTTATGTCATTCTAAATAATTAAATGACATTATGACCTTTATTTTGTTCTTATTAATTGAATGATATTTTCTTTATTTTTTAATAGATTGTCATAAAAATATTTTTTTTACCATCTTAAGTGGTATTTTTTATTTTTTCCCTATATATTTGAGCAAAATTTATACACCCAAATTTTATTGAAAATTTAATATAACAAAACAATCAACAAAACCCTAAAGATGAAATAGCGAAAATGTTTTCCCACATTTCTAAATGACTAGTACGGATGAGCACGTGCGTTGTACACGCGCATACTTATGTTACAAATAAGGATAATACCCAAAATACCCCTTATCAAAATACTACTTTCACTTTTGTGATTATGCAAATATCTAAACACCAATTTATAAAAGCGGACCCAAAACACCCATTGAAGTAATTAAAATTTTCAAAATACTACGATTAGTCTTCCTAATTTTTATTAAAGACAATCTAAAACATTATTAAATCAAAATGTTTACTTAAATCAATCTTAAAAATTAAAAAACTCTCAGAATAATTGAAAATACATCTTTAATTGGAATATTAATTTGAGCATTTTGAAAAAAATTTATAACTTTTTGGTTAAATCATATCTAAAATTACATTTAATGTAAATTGGAAAGGATAATCATAACATTTTTAAAAATTTAACTACTTTAGAGAATGTTTTAGGCCTGCTTTTATAAATACAAAGAGTGTTTTGAGCATTTTTATAATAAGATAGATGAAAGTGGTACATAGAGTATTTTGAGTATTTTTCCTTACAAATACATATAAACATATATGCACGCAGGTGACAGGCATTTTTAGACAAATAATCGGAATCTTATATACATACATATATATATATATATATATTCGTTTAAAAAATATATATATATATATATATATTGGTAGCTTGCATTAAGTATTTTGCTTTTCAAATTTTTTTTTTTTTTCCATAAAAAGGATGTTATCAAGCAAGGTGAAAGTAACTAAAACAATAGGAGGTTTTGCAAGAATCTACTCTTAACATATATCCAAGACTAAAAATATATGTAAAATATCAGATTAGATGATTGGAAATTTAGGTATAAACATCAGCGGTGATTTTTTTTTTTTTTTTTTTTGAGGGTAAACATCCGTGGTATATGGAGATGACCGTTAGACTAAATATTCAATCATTTTCCTTCTCAAAAAAAAAAATATATATATATATATATTCAATCATTTTTAACTTTATCAAAAAAAAAAGTATGTGGTAATCCTCTTGAAAAACCTTAAAAACGCAATTAAAAATAACAAACCTTAAAAACGCTTGCTGTTAAGTTCCCATAAATTAACGCAATTAATTGTAATTTGTGGATGACTTTTTTCATTATTATTTTAACTGGCTGTGCCGTGGAAGGATGACTTACACTAGCTCGCTTTTGACACAGAGATTTTTGGCTTCCTACGGTATGTGTTCCGTCCTGTCGCTGGACCAGTCACATCAGGTGTCGATCCATCATATGAGGAAAGGCTAAAAAAATTGCAAGAAGATATCAACAATCTGCAATCTGGTATGAATAATCTGCAATCTTGTATAAATCGGATGATGGCACAACATGAACAAACTTTGGACAAGGTTATTTTCGGAAACCAATTTCTGAAGCAGTTGGAGATGAATATGCATGCCCAGACCGCTCGTTGAATTGCCTGTACGCCAACTTTATTCGCCTCTTTTTTTTTTTTGTATCATTATTATTTGATTAAGGCGGAGTCAAAATTATGAACTTTTGGAACAAATGTGTGTTAAGGATTGAATAATTTGAATTTTAGAACTCCACTAAAAGTCACTGTTAAAAAAGTTATATATTATGACCTTACAGAATAGTTCCTCACATATTTCATTTCCACACAATTACAAAGGAAAATTCTCCGTCAAGGGTGCCTATTGGGCTATTCAGGGAGCTCAGTTTGATCCAAAGGAGAAACGGTGATGGACGAAACTATGGTCGTTTCATCTACACGAACGGCTGAAAGTGTTAGTATGGAGACTGGCTCATGACACACTAACTACTAGGTGTCAGATGGCCAAACTTTGGAACGAAATCGTTATCGAACTGTTCCGTTTGTGCCAATCTGAGAATAAAAGCGTTCTTCATATGATGGTAAAATGCTCATTTGCTAGAGTTTTATGGTTCGCATGGAGACGGGGTGTTCGCTGGGATGGTGTTCAAATATATAAGACACTACAATTCGGCTGTTAAGAGGTTATTTTAGACCCTCCTAAAAACTTGACCATATACCCGTTGCTGAGAATGAGTTTTCTTTATTTGCTGCTGTTTTGATGAACCACATATGGGAAGTGCAAATATATATTCAGGTATTTTGTGATCGTTTGCTTGAAATTTTCAGAAATTTAAAGCCGAGTCTTAAACAATAGTCTATATGATAGGAGTTCTGTTAACTCTAAGCAGCATTCAGTCACTTGGTCTCCGCCCTTGGGTTGGTGGCTAGAGATCACCGAGGTATTCCTATTGTGGTTTGGACTAGATACCATGAGGCAAGTTCGGCACTGAAGGCGGAACTAGAAGCGTTGAGAAGGGCTGTGGAGTTGGCTCACTTCAAAGGCTGGAGACTGATCAGAGTGACAAGGCTGCTCATACGTACATTGTGTGCTTGGGCTTTTGGGAGCAAATTTTCCGGCTTTGTGCTTCCTGGGATGGCTGCCCCAAATGTGGTGGCCGTTTTGCCATCTGAATCCACTTGAATAAAGTTCTTAAATCTCAGCCAAAAAAGAAATCCACTCTAAACGCTAGGAGAATTTAGCACTACAATCGTTTATATATCTTTGTTATGTCGTTTGTTTGTTATTAGTTCATCGCTATTTGTCTAGTATGTCAATCGTCGTCAAAATGTAGCACATTGCAATAGATTTATAAGTTTGGAAGACAACTTGTCAAAATTAAAAATTTAAGAGACAATTTGTTAAACCACGACAAATTTGGGAGGCAATTGTGCCAAAAACCATTTTTCTAATATTAAAGAAACCTTATGCTGGAACATAAAATAACCATTTTGTGTTCTGTCTATTAATCTAAATAAGTGTATAAAAAATGTCTTTAAAAAGTTGCAAACTGATGATAAACGAGGCATAGTAAAATTCCTTAAACATCACACGGGATCATAGAGAAAAATCCACCCCAATGCTATCCATTTGGACCCTTCGATCAGCTTTTACGAACGTGTGGACGCATCCGACGGATGGGCCCATCCCAAGTTCAAGTATGCTGATGCATCCTACATTCTTGCAAGAACAAATAGAGCTAAAGCGTTCTGATTGCAGACTATAGAAGTAGAGATCCGCTACAGATAGTCCATGCCAATTGTTTCCCATGAGCCCAAATCACTATAATGGGTCATAGCCTACTTTCTACCAAAAAAATATAGATATATATAATATACCTATATGGGTCATAGGCCACACTTGCAAGCCTTTCTTGGTCTACCAGCAAAGCCTCAAGCACTATCCCTGAATCCTTAGAAATGGATCAGGTCAAAAATTACGACATTATGATGCCAAAGAAACTGCTATGTCCCTTTGCAAACAAGAAACCGCTAGCATTTTATATTTCTACGTCTGCTGATTTTATCCAAAACAAGTCTGTTCCTTCTATGCACATACTGTCTTCCAATCATGATGTCATAAAGGATAGAAATGAAGAACAAAATCACTCTTTTTCTGGATAGGAACAGAATATTATCACATGGTCATGAATATTCCAAAGACAAAGTATCATATCATAAACTTAAACTAAGCCTAATTAATCCTAATTATAACAAAATACGCGCTTATTTTGACTATCATATAGTTACCATCATCATTCAGTCTTTGCCACATGACCGTTATCATGCTGGTTTACATTCATTCACACAAATGAAAGCAAGATCAAGCATTTTTCTAATATTGCAGAAACCAAATACGGGTACAAACAAAGAACCGTTTTGTGTTTTGTCTCTTAACATAAAAAAGTGTATAAAAAATGTCTTTTATGAGTATTGGTCGGCAAGGCCTCAAGTAACAACCGGTGGATCTTACTTCAAGACACAACATACCTGAAAAGTGATAGATTTTATATTACTACTTACTAGTTACTCAGAAACCATGTTTTTTTCCCCCTTTCTTTTTTAATATCCCAGAAAAGACTTGACCAAACTTGTTATTCTTAGGCCTTTTTTAGTCAGAAGGAGAGAAAACATGAAAGGAGGAACGCCGTACATAGAACTTAGGTGAGTAGAATAAAGAATAAAGAAACGACCTTTCTCTTATTATGTTAGGTGTAAATCCCCTCGTTCAATCCTCTGAACTATAAAATGATCCAAAATGGGGCTTGAATCTCTTTTTTAACCCATTTCCTCTACTCCATCCTACCAAAATGACCATAATCCTAAAGTTATCCAGTAATTATCCTATTATTGTTTTTTCCTTCCACTTTTCTCTCCTACCAAACAAGATCTTTGTCTGCTCCAAAGCCTCAATATGCATGCCTTGCTACACAAACTAAGCCTCAAGACCAAACCCACCGGCCTAAGTTCCAAACCTATTCAACTAAAACAAGTCCAAATATTGTCTTTTCAAACATCTCCTAACACATGTATTACAGACTCGTATTTTGACCATCAAAGAAATTTAATCCAACCAACAATCTTTGCTCTATTTTTTTTTTCCTTTAACACTTCACATTACTTGCAAGTAACTCTCCTTTTGAGTCCATATCACATGTAATATTAAACAAGATATCCATGAAAAAAAAAAAAAAAAAAAAACATATTCTTGTATAATCCCAGGATCACAGAATCTGGGTCAATCTGCAGATCAAAAACTCCAAGGAGTATAATGCCACGTCCTCACTCTTTTTTGTTCTTTTTTTCCACATCAATCATGAACATGAATTATGGTTTTATTAAACTCTACAAACTAACGTGCAGAAGCCAAGTTCAATGATCCTTCTACGTGTCATGACTTGTGAGATTATTTGTGCTTATTAGTCACTTTTTGATAGCACTTCTATCACTTGATTGAAACCTTAAAATGACACCAACAATAAAAAAAGCCTAAAAAATAAAAAAAGAGGGCAACATATTTTGTCTAGAAAACAAAAGTAAATCTACGAGAAAATGACAAGGACTCTCTCTTCTTTTTTTTTTTTTTTTTTTTGTTCTTTTTTGTTTTCAACCCCATTTCTTGGGAAACACATTGTTTCATGTGACAAGTTTTAGAAAGTTATAATGAAAGCTACATGCCAATGTATGAGGTTTCATGTGCTAATGTTTCTCCAATTACTTATAGGCTATAGCCGACCACTGAATAAGAATTCGTTTTTATATTTGGAGTTAATGAACCAAAGATTATAATACTAATGTTGGAAAAATGTTGTCAATTATCAAAGTTGGCGGTCTATTTTTTTTTTTTCTTCTATGCTCCACAGGTATGATTTAAACATAAAGCTTTAGACTAGAATACTGCACTAGATTAATAGAACTTTTCAAGCTTTCTCACCTTTTATATTTCTTTTAATCCCCACTTAGCAGATGACAAATTAAATTAAATTAAGATGGATGTCGTGATTGGCCTTAGAATGTGATTCATGTGAACTAATGATAATAAGTTTTCAACTAATGTGTGCAATAAATAAATTAAACTTTTATTATTTTTTTAAACATGTATATTACTCCTCCACATGTAGTTTTATTTAATAAATTTTCTTGGCGTGAAGGGGAAGTTAATTGGCCAATTAGGATCTCTTTACAGCCTAATCAAATTTTATCTTTTTTTTTTTTTTTTTAATCTTTCTTCTACGCCCTTTATTAGTATACAAACACAAGTTTCTTTCTCTAGTTAACAAAGAGATTACACCTCAAAGTGTTTAACAAAACATAACAAAAACAGGCTTCTCAAAAGACATCTCATTGTATTGCTTAAAATCCGTACACTAATTTTTTAGAACAATTACGTGCACATTTGAGATACCAAAATTCCATATATAAACCTAACAGCAGCTCATCAATCACTCGGCACCTAAAAAGCAAATTAAAAAGAGATTGATCATCACCTAGGAAAAGAACGTACAAAGAAAAATGACTAAGTCTAACATGATCTTGATGATCGTGGCTATTTCCGCCATCACCAGAGTTCTAGTCTCCGGTGACAATAACACGGGCTTTGGATGCGCCGGGGATGTAATGGGACTGATGGCAAATTGCTTCCTATACGTCCAAAAGCTGCCACCATTGCCGTCGTTGCCATCACTACCAAAGCTACCATTCCCAATGTCGAACATTCAGCTGCCGAGGTTTGAACCCTCCGCCAAGTGCTGCCAGTCTTTCAGCATGACGGACATCCCCTGTGTCTGCCGGTACATGCCAGCGCAGATCTCAAACAGGATAAACATGCCGAGATTTGTCAGTGTCTCGGCTTACTGCGGAAAAATTCTCCCAAGTGGGCTTGCGTGTGGAAGTAAGCTAACCTAATTACTTAATTAATTAGTTATACGAAAAATGCTAGCGGCATTATTTTTGTCAATTTCATTACTGTTTGACACGTGAGTTTCACTACATCATTTTATATTTAAATAATAATATATCAAGTTAAGTGGTAAATGTAAAGAGTGATATAAAAAGTGTTCTAGCATTTAAATAGTAATAATAATAATGTGACATAATACTTTAAAAAAGATGTCACGCCAAATGATATTTAACGTTAAATTGGCCTTCCTTTTTTTTTTTTTTTGGAGTTACATGTTTTACTGATAATTTTGTTGATTTTTATTTTTATTTATTTATTTATTTTTCTGGGGAGCAGATTATACAGTTCCATGAAGTTTTGGTGATCATGATGACCAGCCTACATGAAGAGTGGTGACTCAGTTATTAACGTTGTCTTGTTCGAGATATAATAATTCATTAATCTTCTATATCTCTAGATCTTATAATGATGTAAATGAAACTAAGAAACCATATTGTTAATAATGTACTGTTCGATGTCTGTAATTTGTAGTTGAGTTTGAGATGTTTCTTGTTTTCCTTAATTTTTCTCCCTAGTATATTATGCTATCATGTGTATTAAGTACTTCTTTAGACTCTTCTTTTTGAAAAGATAAATTCTAGTTACTATGTTTATGCTTCTAGTTTTTGAATCATGAATTCATCAATTTTCGGAGAACAAATTGCAAACTATATATCCTAATTAAAATGCTGATCAGGAAAAAGACTTTTGTTTATAGCAGGCATACTGATACAACGTTTTTTTTTTCCCCTTTATTAGTGGGCAATGTTGGTTTTCTTCTTAAAAAGCAAATTCTATATGGAAAAAGAGATGATCATGTTTTCTAAGTTAAACGACGGGAAATTTGAAATCACAAACGATATGTCGTTTCTCAATGCAAATGGAACTTTTGGAGGCAACTTCTTATATTACCAACTACTAGTCATTCGACCAAAGAGTGAACTTCGATTTAAACGACAAAAGGTTTGAAAAGAAAGGACACGCTGTCTATTTACTACCACGAACGACGTGTAATTTGCTGAAGATAGTAGTATAGTACCACAAAATTGTCTCCTGAACGACATACCAGACTATTTTTAAAGAAAAAATAACTTGAGAATTTTTGAGACAAAATTAATGATTTCCACTAATAGATGAACTGTTATGAGACTTTTTTTCTTTAGTTCAAGAATTATTTATAAGATAAAATTTAAAACAAAAACTAATTTTAAAGAAAAAAATTAAGGTATATTTAGATTTATTCTTAAAGATTTCTCTATGGTGAGACCACCTAAAAAATACACTGTATAGCGCATTATAAATTTTTAATATTAATTTGTATAGATCTAACTGTTAAAAACTTAAACTGTTAGTGTAGAACACAAAAGGAACGAATTTACCAAACAAAATCTTGGGTTGAGTCGCGGACTAAGTCGCTTTCTTTAAGACGTTTCGCGGCTCTGTCCAAGGTAGTACAAGCAGTATACCAGCCTCGTCGTCCCCAGGATAAAACAGCCCAGAATCACCTCTGCCTCGGACCTCCTCTGCACTGAAGAAAGCCGGAATACAAACACCCAAATATTGCTCGGAAAACAGAAAGCAAGAAGAAAGTTTTTTCTTTTGATTACCAGAGAGAGCATCTAAAAACTTTATATCTCAATCTATCCTCTCTGCCTCTATTTAAAGAAAATTGTATACAATGACGATGAGGAAAGTTAGGAACAAACCATGAGAGAGTGGAGAGGATCGTGGAGGAAATCATGGACCAAGTCATTCTTGTTCAGAGACTAAGTCTTCCCCTTTTTTTCGTTCAAAATAGCAACTTTATTTGTTAATAGATAATCTCTTTAGATATAACCACTTTTATTTTTAATTAAAACAAAATTCACACTGCTCCAACAATCCCCCACTTGAATTTTTAACATTTCCATCGAGCAATATGATATAGGATCATGCATAAGCAAAGGTGTCTATCGACTTGAACCCTTACATAGTGAAGATGATTTAGATTATACTAGAGTAACTCGTAGTTTTGAACTCTATCTCTAACAACATCACACACACAACCCTATCAGGGTGAAGTCCAAAAGCCTGTGCTTTACGGCCATGCACGTATATCCCAGTCTAGTGAATGCTCTAGAGAATTTGCCCAAAATTCCATAGGAAGCGGCCACACTTCCACATTCACTTAGGTGAGTCTATCAAGAGTATTCCTATAGCTAAATACTCCACTCCACACAGAGATATAGAACCCATTAAGAGTTTAGAAATAACTCAACCTTCCATCGCTTCAGGATTTCATGCTTCAAAGTAAGATATTCGGAATATAACAAATATTGTTATATTAGCATGATCCAATTCATATCACTTCATGACTTGTTATTACCCATTGAACCTATTTCTTAGGATCTCCAGTCCATAGGTTGGGTTTCCATCACAAGTGACTCATCAATCTACGGGCATAAGTCCCATTCCTTTTGAGGTTTTGCAAACCTTTTCTCTAGCTAATCCTTTCGTCAAAGGGTCAGCCATGTTATCATCAGTACGTATATAATCCACTCTCACAGCTCCAGTGGAGAGATATTCTCTAATAGTACTATGCTTACGACGTATTTGTCGCCTTTTTCCATTATAATAACGGTTCTGAATTTTCGCAATAGCTGCAGTACTATCGCAATGGATCAAGATAGCTGGAATCGGTCTCTCCCATAACGGAATATCAGATAGCAGACTTCTTAACCATCCTGCTTCCTCACTAGCTGATGCTAGTGCAATCATCTCAGACTCCATGGTAGATTGAGCCAAGATAGTCTGTTTCTTAGACTTCCAAGAAACAGATCCACCAAATGTGCTAATATTAATAATAATAATAATAATAATAATAATAAGACTTTGTTTATATGATTGGACATTCTATATTCCTTTATTCAAGACTCAACTTAAAACGATAAAAAAAAATAGACTGAACTTCAATTCTTAACCTTATTTTAGTCATTTTTTAGGCAAAATTTAGGCGCTTTACTTTGTTCTGATATTGACAAGTTCTGTATTTTGTGATAATAGTTGGAGAAAAGAATGATTTAGTTGAAGAGTGGAGAATGGCATTAGTATCAGGAGTAAGGTCTTCACTGAATCCAAATGCCCCTCTCTTTGTGCCTGCTGCGCTGCGCCAAGTGGAAGATTTCTCTCCTGAATGGTGGGAGTTGGTGAAAACTTCGACATGGTTCCGCGATTACTGGCTGAGCCAGCATCAGGAGGAGGATTTCGATGGCAGCACCTCCGACTATGCTGACGCTGATGATGGCGCTTTTGATGCCGCTGATATATTGCCGGATGATTTTGATATAGGCTTAGATGAAGAGTTCTCTAGCCTAGATATTGGTATAGAGGAACCCGCCTTGTTATCTGAGGATAAAAGAGAAGCAGGTTTGTCCCTTGCTGATGAAAAAAGTGGAAGTAAGCCTCTTAATGGTAAGCTTAGAATTCTATTTTTTTTTTTTTTTTGGTTGTTATATATTGATGAAGTATGCTTGATGTAAAAACAAGAGAGAATAGAACGAATTTAGATAGATAAACCGAACTAACAGAGATTGGACAGTAAAGGAGGGATCAAAAATCTCAATATTCATTCGTCGACTACGTGGGAATTGAAAATATTATATAGAAACATTACATATAATAAGATAAAACTTGTTGACGGTGATTTCTCGTCAACAAAAACAGGCCGGGTTACCTTTGAATTTTCCGTTGGATTATTGGCCTTAGTGTTGAATGTGTGTGAGAATTTATTGGAGGGGTGTATTGTGCGTTAATGAAATATATGCACAAAGATATAGAAACATAACATATAATAAGATAAAACTCATAATGGATAAACTTAACTAAATCCTAAACTATCAATGAATATACATTATTGATTCGTAATACCTATATGCCCTCTTGGTTACTCAACAGCAAACAAGCTCTTATTTGCGTCATAGAATGCTTGTTATCTGAAAGAGTTAAAAAATGGTAGCACAAATTCAATTCCTATTTTGTTTTCCTGGCCTATGAAATAAAAATCATTTGCATAATTGCACATCTTAAGTCTTTGGTGCTATTACAGGTCTAAAAATGGATGCTAAAGCGATCTTGAAGAGCTTGACCGTTCCAAAATCGGCAAACGAAAGATGTCCCGTGTCGCCTGCCGGGCCTGCAAAGTACCGAGAGAAGCCAACTAAGAATGTGAGCCCTAAATCCACCCCGCGACGGATTCAGCAGCCCCGCTGAAATAGTTTTGCAGAGGAGGGTCATGTGTCACATTGGAATAGTCCTTGCAAGAGTAGCTTTTGTCTCTACTCAATAAAGTTAGGATGTGTATATAACAAGGTTGTGACTTGTGTCATCTTGTCGTTGATCTTTGTTGAGTTTTCTGCTAAATAGTTTAATTCAAGCTTTACCGTTTGAAGTAGTGGTTTAAATATAAGCGTGTGCAGGGTTTATGTTGATCTTTGGTTGCTTGAATAAATATGTTGCACCAGCTGAAGTTTGTCAAAGAGACATCTTTCTTTCTCTGTAACTATATAGTATATACCGCTTTCCATCTGGTTGGCGTTATGTGTTCTGTTCGGTTAGACTTTTTAAAAAAAAAAAACAGTAATTACATTCACGCGGGAATTACAAGCACTAATAAAAATGTAAATGACCTTACAATACATGAGATACAACCCTCAATTGAGATCCATTCCACCTAGTAGAATCGAATGACGCCAGTGACGGATCTAATATTTGAATTCAATGAGGGCACAAATAGAAACAAAAGTTATAGCACAAATAAGTAAAATTTCTAGCATTTCTTTAAGATTGAATTTTATTGATTTACAAAATAATATCATGTATACGAAAATTAAGCACAAATATCAACATTAAGATTAACCTCGTAAAATAAAAACGGCTAATAACTCTAAAATATTTTACCAATAAACATATTACATATACCTCAATATGT